CTTCAACTTTATTTTTTAAATTGTATTTTAAAACAGCAGTATATCATAGAAAACAGGTATTTTTTCCCCTCATAACTCAAACTGTAGAATAAGGAAAATACTGTTGTCTGTGTTAATCAGTTAGTAACATGTAGTGCCCTTAGAATGGTGAGTAGGACAGTTTTCTATATGTGTCATCTGTCATTATTGTAATACACATTATAATACAGTGCACAGCAACAATTTGTTGGCCTTTTTCCCAAAAAAGGTTAACAGGCTTCAAAATTCACTGAATTAACTAACAATAAATGTGAACTACTCAACAAAACAATACTTATATTCAGTAATTCTCAAGTATACCTTTCTTGCTATTGGTTCTTGACCTTCCATTAATGTATACCAGCTGACAAGTTTATTCCAGCCTTCAGTTGGCAACAATATGTAATCCAATTCATCGATCAGATGCTCCTTAAGTGACTGGGCATCACCATCTACAAAGGGAAAAATAAAAATACATAAAAAGAAACCATAGGACATATCTCTGAATAAATTGGTTATACACATCACAAAATACTTGAACTCATGGACAATATCTGAACTATTTAATGAATTCTGAAAAAAAGCTCAGAAAGTTAAAATCTACATATTTCAAAGTAAACTGTTGCTTGAAAAGCTTTCAAGGTGTGTTATTAGTCAATAAAAAGACATACTTTTTAGTAGGTTCCTAAAAATGAGTACATATTAGCCAAGATACCTGACAGAAGAGTGTTTCCCAACTATTTTGACTGTCAATGATCCCTCAAATGACAGCAACAGCTATTTTAGCATTAGTTAATAAGTGAAGGAAATTCCTAAGTAAATGAATAACCTGCTTTTTTCTTTTTTGAGACAGGGTCCCACTATGAGGCCCAGGCTGCTCTGGATTATGCAATCCTACTGCCTCAGTCTTCCAAGTACTGGAATTAAAGGCATGCACCAAGATGGCATAAATACCAGCCTTTCATGGTACTAGATCGATGACTTTCTACAATGACTGCAGGACACAGCCTGGAAACCGCGACAGGAATCAAAGACTGTTTTGCAAAGCTTCTCATTACTCTAGAAGACCCTTGATCTGAACTCTTCCCCAAATCTAAAACGCTAACAGTTATTGAGATGTGGCTTTCATTCTATGATCTACTTTAAAACTTCCAGTCCTACTTGAAACTTTAGTATCATTCAGGGCAGAGACCTAAGAATAATTTCCTGAGTCAGAGCTATGTCACTGACTTCATCTGGGACTCATTTGTTAATTGGTCATTTGAATTTCCGAAGTTCAGAAAGAGAAATAGTTCACTGAGTTGTCCCTAACTCAAAGGAGATTTATCTTAATGATCAGACAAAAGTAACACTGTCCTTCGTGGCACTTCCATGATGGTATGTTGAACGTACCATTCCTAATAAAATATAACAACACAAATCAGAAAAAAGCTGAAGATTAACAGAATGTTTCCATTTCAGAACCAGTGGGTTTCTGAATTTTAAGAAAGCTTTTTATGGAAACAAAAATGGGAAATCTGAATTTTATAGGTTCTTCAACAGCAGATATAGTATTGAGTATTTATTAAAAATTTTAATTATGCTTATTCATAGTGCACACACAAGGCCTGTGAGTTGGTTCTCTCCTACCATGTAGGTCTGAGGATTGACTCAGGTCATTAGGATTGGCCACAAGCATCTTTATCTTCTGAGTCATCTCACCAGCACTGGGTATTAACTTTTAAACACAGGTTTTTAAAACTTAGTTGTAACTTTTAAATTGCCAACAAACACTACTTCAAATATGTCAGAAACTCTGAAGATAAAAGAAAATTATATAGTCTAAGCAACATATACTATGAAATATAATACAGCAGATAACTACAGTCAATTCTCAAAGCAACCTTGCAAGATATGTGTCCTGATTATAGACAATACATATTCAATGATATTGAGTAACTTGCCTGGGATAATTTTACAAAATAAGGATAGTATGAAGCATTTTATTATAGAAAACCATGCTATTAACCGGGTACGGTGGTGGTGCACACATTTAATCCCAGCACTTGAGAGGTGGAAATCAAGGTTATCCTCAGCTACATAGTGTGTTCAAGACCAACCTAAGCCTAGAGCTTGGGGTGAGGATTGGGGGAGAAAAAGAGAAAGAACAGAATGAATTGTACTATTTTAGTTGACATCTTTGTTTCAGAGTAACATTATGAAGGTGGCATCTCCATTTCCATTACTAACCAAGAAGAGACGAGCAAATTTCCCAGGGTTCCACATACAGAAAACTGCAGAGGCTGAGTTCAAACATGAACATGCTTATTCTAACACCCAGTTGCTTTGCATTATAATACATACTCTAGCTTGAAGAAAACTTAGTCAGCTTAGGAAAATTTTAAAAATTAAGATTTGTATGCTGTCTTTTTTTAAAAAAACTGAGTTTAGGTAATTATATTATGTATGTAGCAGAATCTACATAATAAGTTACACTTAGTAGACAGAACAAAATGATCACTTTATTTTAAAGAGAACACTTTTTGAAGAGAACTGATATTTTCTCTGTAATGATGTATAACTTCTGTATAATATACTGTACATATTTAAATTATACAGACTGATAATTTTTTAAGCAAAAGAGAATTTATTAGGCAAATACACTTGTAGAGATTCCAAGAGCAGTCATGGGACAACAACTAGTATCACATCTTTCTCCAGGTCAGAACATGTTGTCATCACAAATTCTAACTTGCATACTGCATAGGGAACTAGAATGTGCACTCAGTCCTGCTTGCCTTTTGATCTTTACAGTCCTTTATGCTGGCCTCAAGCTTGTCAGGCACAGGCTAGCAGACACTCACGAGTTCATACAAGTCTTTCTGAAAGGGTTTAGCAGCTCAAAGAGTACCTGGGGTCTGAATGTTCCAATCACTTTTGTTCTCAAGGATAGGTCATAGTGTAACCACAAAATTCCACTTCTAGATCTTTAAAATCATGTACCACAGATAATTGCCTGGGGTATGCTCCTCCTTGTGCAATACGAATGTCATGTAGTGTGTATCTATTTCAGTTGCTCGAAACATTTCCAAGACTGCCCTGCACCTTCGATCACTGACACCTTCAATCCTGATATTTTTCTCCCAGCTGCTGCTCCTCTTCTACCACAGGGTGCAGCTTCTGGGGTCCTCCCGTGGTGCTGGTACGAAAGAGGCTCTGTGTGTGGACAAAATGGGGCTAAGTGCTGACCTATCTACACAAATGTGATATAACTGCTGCTAGCAAAACGATGACACATTGATCACTCCCAGAAGCTCCCTGTGGCTCTCTAGAATCTCTCTTTCCTGCCTGTCCAGGTCCCCCAGTTATATATGCAGAAAACTGCTATCTATGCTTTCTAACTATAGACTAATTTGCATTTTATAGAAACTCACATAAAAAGTTTATGTCCTCTTTTTGTTTGGCTTCATCCATACTCTGTAATTACTCTGAGACCCATCCATATTTTTATCTATCAGCAGTTCACTGGTTTTTAAAAGTGCTATGTAGGATTTCATTATATGAATATATTATCAATCATTTACCCAATCAGATGTTGATGGGCATTTGGGATCCTAGCAAACCTACTATTACAAATCATGCTGTATGAACATTCATGTGCATCTTTTCCTGTGAGTAAATCCTTTCTCTCAGATAAATACCTATCACAGAATAACTGGGTATTATGGAAAACATGTTTAACGTAAATCTATTTCTCTGTATCTTTATCAACAAGTATATGGGTGAGTCTTAAATTTTGATCATTTTAATACATGCATTATATACAATATTATGTACCACATTATGGTTTTATGTATTAAACCCAAGGCCTCAGGCATGTAGGTACTCTATCAACTGTCCTACACTCCCAGTCACCCATCCCTGTGGTTTTAATCTTCATTCTTTATAAAAGATTTATTTTAATTATGTATCTCTGTGTGGGTAAGTACAAATGAGTACAGGTGCCTCTTAAGGCCTGAGACATGAATGTCCCTGGAGCTGGAGTTACTGGTGGTTCTGAGCTGCTGACTGGTGCTATGAATTGAACTTGGGTCCTCTGCAAAAGCAGTATGTGCTCTCAACTGCTGAGCCCCTTATCTTCATTTCTTTAATACTAATGAGGATTTTCACAAATGCTTTTGGAAAACACTATTCTCTTCTTTAGTAGTTTGTGTGTACATGTGTGTGCAAAAATGTGTGTATGTTCACATGTGTGTGGTTATACATGGATGTATGTGGAGGCCAAATGTCAAATGGTGTCATTCTTTTTTTAAAAAATTATTTAATAACCACATACTTAGAAGAAGCATTTCATTACAACAGCATTGACATATTCAATAACAATTTCCAGAGCTAAGATGCCTCATTCAAAATTGGCTGTAAATTTTTAGGTTTACAGTTGAATTATTACAGTTATACAGTATTGTACTCAGTATAAATCCTATAAGACATAAAATTAAATGAGGTTTTAATCTTTAAAAAAAGGTCTCCATTTCATTATTAAAATACAGAGTTTCATACAGAAAAATTCATTTTTATGCAATTGACACTAAGATGTTTGCACATACTTTTCTAATCTCTAGAGATCAGATTATTACTAGTCACAGTTGGTTACTTTCAGAGCTCCTTGGCATCTAAGCATGGATATAAAGTCATCAGGTAGATTTCAATGGTAATGTTTTTCACATC